CCGAGAAACTTCTCCGTTTTCGCGTCCGCGTTATCGGACGTTTCGAAACCTTCCCAAACTTTTATCGTTCATGCCTCGAGCTGTTGTAACTAGGTTGTAACTACAGTTAACAGAGCCGCGGTAAGCCGGCGCGAGGTGCTATCGGCTGGTATTATCAAGTCAAGGACTACATTTTTGCGAGCGCCAATTACGGTATCCATGGCTGGCATACATCATTCGATAAAACCGGCAACGAATATCGGTCAGCTAAACCTACGAACTGACTGGAACTGCTCGAACTGATCTTCTTACCACACTGAAATCTATGTAGACACAAAGAACACAGTGGAAAGAGGCCTCGTATAATCAGACAAACTATTTCAGAAAATCCTGTGATCCTACGATACGTTCAAGCATCAAACAACACTCCTTCAAATCCATAAAGCGATAGAGAATTTCAAAGTGAAAACAGATCTCCAATGATCAGACACTATCTCGCTGAAACCATAATTCTAAATAAAACCTCAATCTTACGATACGATCAGCTTCCTGTAATAACCAATCGTTCACGTAGGAATTCATCAATGTATCTACATACTAATTGACAGTGAATCAGAAATGCCTATAGTCAGACAACCGTCCATCGATAGTAACTTCCGAAAGAACGAATGAATCGAACCCTGCCAGGATCGCGCGAAAACTCTAACGATCCCCGACGATCGAAACAATCTGCTCGAAAAATCAGGCCGTCAAAAACGAAATCCTTATTCTCCCCACGAACCGACGTTCAGCTCGCCCGAGCCGAGGATCGTCGGAGGCAGCTGGCCCACGGAGCGCCGATTCGGTGGGAGCGTTTTCATTTAGACGTAGATTATTCCTAGATGCCTCTCATAAATATTAAACAGGCCGCGCGTTCTCGCGAGCTCGCTTGCCCGCGCGCGCGCGAGCTGGCGGCCGGCCGCTCTCGGATTCACGCAGGCGAAACGGCGTGCTTTTTACTCCTGAAACCTTGTCCGGGCTGCTGTGCCCCCTTTCCCGGTGTTCCTTCACGCCCCTTCACCCTCCGGCGGCGATCTGTCGCTCATTGAGTATGCATCGTCGATATCGACAGCGGGGGCTGTTACGAGCTGTGCCCAGGCTCGCCGGGAGCGACGTCGGAAGCCGTCGCCTGGTTCCCGGCGAACGTCAAAGGGACGGTGGAAGGAGGCAGAGGAAGGGCTACCATCGTCCCTTCGCGGCCCCTGCCTCTTTTCCTTTTGTTTTTCCAACGGGTGTCGCGAAAAGGGCTGTGCGCGACCACCGGCTGGCAAGCGCGCGATTTTTGCGCTCGCACGGGGACGCCCGACGGCCATTCGACCTGGCCTGCGTTAAGCCGCGTGCACGACGACGCTGGAGGGACAGAGATAACAGCGGCTTGCCACTGCCGTTCCCGTGGCCGTCGGCGTTGCGCTTCGTCCGTACACATCTTCCTCTTCGTATTCTTCTTCGGGTCGTTCTTCTTGTTCTTCTTCTTCTTCTTCTTCTTCTTCTTCTCTTTCTTCTCCTTCTTCTTCTTCTTCTTCTGCTGCTGCTGCTGCGTTGGCTGCTCGTTCCTCCAGCTTCGTATACTTATGTATTCCGTCGCGAGGCGGTGCGGACTCGTCACGCGCATTTGCATACATTTCGAGCCGCGGACCGTCCGTTTTTTGCCAGGATTCTTGCCGGTTGCCGCATGCTGCCGCGGATGTGTCCCTTCGTGCGGCTAGAGTGATTGCGATAATCGACGACGCGGAGGACAGACTTTCGTGTCATTGTGATCTGGTAATACGGGATCGGGGAATGCTAATTATTCATCGGGTATTCCGATGGTTCGAGAGAGATACGTAGCAATAGTGAATACAAATGTATTCGTCGTTCCGTTTGGTACCGAAGCGCCCAATGTGGAAGTCTCCGAGCGTATATTCGGCATCAACGATTTTAATCGAGCACGTTTAATACCGACTCTAGTATTAATTACGACACTGCTGTTCCCGAAGAATCTGCACCTGCACTCGGGACAAGGGGACCCGTCCGAAAAAACCGAGCCGCGTCCGCGCGGACAAAAGCTCCCCGCCGCGAGTTTCGCTGGCTGGTAGCCCCCGTGTCACGGCGGCTGTAAATATCAATAAACAAAGCGGTGGCGCTTCGGGGCCGGCGAAATAAACTACGGCGAAGATGAGGTTTTAGCGCTGGGCCCTTTGTCGGGCGCCATCTACCCGGCGCAACTCGCGGCCGCGAGTTTTTCGCCGAGCAATTAGAAAGAGATTTATTTGCGCCGGCACGCCGGGCGCACGCTCGCCAATAAGAGCTGCTGCCCCCTCGGAGAGAAGGGAAGCGGGTCCTCTCTCCTCGTCCCTCCTCTTTCGGCGTCTCCCTTTCTCACGGTGTTCCGCGGCGGCAACATATTTTTCGGCCGGTACCGTACGTACGCGGCCATTTTATACACAGCGCAGCGTTACACGGGCATTCCGCTCTCTATCCTGACGCGAGGCGTGTTCGTGTGCGTGTATGCACGCGAGCCGCGAGCTTCAGCGGGCCGATTCGGCTTACGAAACGTGAAACAATGTGGAGCCAGCGAGCGGCCGCGTTTCTTTCCCCGAGACGAACTCCGCGCCGCGGTTTTAATGAACTCGTTTTGATGTTGCGATGTCCTCTCCGTTCTGCCCTCGCTTCTTGCGCCGGATGCTTTTTTCCGGCTTTTATTTTTCGATTCGAGATGCTCCTTCTGCGTTCCGTCTTCGTTGGTCTAGCTTCACCGAGCTCTATCCCCCTTTCCACCGTCCCGCCCACCGGACCGACTTAGTTAATTAAAGTAACCGTACGCTTTTTGATTGACGCCCGAGGCGTAAAAAGCCGTGGACGCGCGAACGCGTCACCCAGGGGCTCGACGGTGATTACGCAACGCCGGAACCGAGCCGGGCTGACGAGGAGGACCTGTTCGTCCTCCTGCCAGCCGTCACACGTGGGTTTTGATGCGCCACTTGGAATGATGTCTATCGGAATTAAGTGTCCGGCCGCGGGGCTGGGTCATTGATTAATTAATAGCACTGCTTTCCAGAAAAAAATCCCCGTGGAATGAAGTCTCGGTTATCAAGGTGGTTCACGAGGAAATGAGCTGTAGCGGATTCCTCGGAAAGGAGAGTTCGAAACCTGATTACCAGGCGGCGAAGTTCTCTGCACGACTGTCGAACAAGACAATTGCATAAACACTAGCTTTTGATGATAGCAGGGTCGAGAGTCTTGTTCCTTTATCAGAGGTTGATGCGCATTATGCGAGCGTTATCGCCGCGCGGCAGCGTTTGAAAACGTACACGATATACAATGCGGAGTAGTGTATCAGGGAAATGTAGGTCTGGGAATACATTTCGAACACAAATGTCGCTTTCTTTCACCGGCGCTCTGCTCGGGGTTATCGAAGTCAATTGGTCATTGCTACTTAATTCTACTGTCTCGGGGAAACCATTAGACATTTTGGTCTTGGTAAAAGTATATTAACATCCATCACTAGGACATATTCCAAAATCGACATCTACAAATTACCGAATTATCAGAGTCTCAAAAATCTCAACAAAGATAGATCAGCTAAAGAGTGCATTAAATGTTTGCTACCCCCAGATCGTTGAACTACAACAGTCTAAATTCCCAGCGAAGTTAAGATCAGCTGAACGATCAAATAAAACTTCGGAATTCCAAGTGAATCCACCGGAATAGATTCTTAAGCTACCACAGCCTTCGAATTTCCAGTGAAAGCACTCGAGCTGCCCTTGTCCGATCTCCCAGATATCCCAGCTGCCAGAGTCCGCGAATTCCCAGCGATTAGCCGAAAGATGGAAAAAAAAGATTCGCTCGCACTTCCCTTAGAAAGTCAACGAGCCGAACCGCGATCTTCCTCTTCCTGAAACCGGAGGAAGGGTTAACCGTGCACGTTTCAGCTCGCGCAAAACACGAGCGTTCCTCATCCGACGGTTTCTCCTGGCAAGCGCTCGCCTCTATGAGGCAAGGTTACGTAAGATTGAGCAGCACGTCACGTGCACATAGCGTACGTATAGATCGCGAGGACACAAAAAAATACCGCATGTGCAATCCTAACAGCGGCACACGCGCATTAGTATCCGCTGCAGGCCATGCCCGGCGTTCTATGCGGCGTGTAGGCAGGGACAGGCAAAAGAAACGACAATTACGAAACTAGCAGTGTTCCTTCTGTTTTTCTCATTTTTTCCTGCCCTTTTTTTCTGCATCCCCGGTTCCGTTGCTTTTCCTTTGCAACTAGGTAACAAAGTTACCGAGCCTTGGTGGCAGGGTTGCATTACGGAGCGTTAGGGGTTCCTACTTCCTTCTATTTGCTTAGCTAACGACACCACTTTCTTTCTTCCATTATAACGTAAACACCGCACTCGAGACTATGAGACACGCTTGTTTAACTTCTGGTTGCAACTTTGGTAGGCGCAACTTTTGATAGAGTCCACTGATCGTACACCATAACGGTTAGCTGGACATCGCGAGGATTGTTCTAATCACGCAACATAGTCACCTTTTTGAAAAAAGATTTAGCGTCTCCGCGGATGAGACCATTGGCGAGGTAAAACATATATGCCAAAGAGGCAAGCGTGTATCATTACGTGTGGTACACGCAGAAAATGTCTATCGGGGCCTGTAATTATCGGATGTTTGACGGAAGGAAGGA